TATTCTCCTGAGTTACTATGTAGAATCCACAACACCCCTGAAATTAATTTTTACAAACTACATGAAGTAGGCTACAACACTTACTGTTTTTACCATTTAGGTATGAAGTTTACCAAATAGTATGTATAAAAATTTATAAAAAGTAAAAGCCCAATTTTGTCTTGTCTTCCCTACAGCTGAGGGTACAGATAACAGTTGCTTTGGGAAACTGTGTGCCTAAGCATACAATAGGCAATTATTATCTATTTATTTATATGGATTCCCTCATTCAGAGTTTAACTCAGCTACTAGCAATTTCTAACAATCAAAGCTCTAGAAGCGGTTGTCTTCCAACTTCTCAGTGGTGTGGGTCTACATGCTCCACTAAAGAGGTGGTTACAGAACACTATATAGATATGCAAACAACAGAAATAGTGTTTTTTTCTCCTGGATCATGTGCACCTAGGATGAGAACTTACTTTTGTACTTGACTTACTGAGCTAGTCATTTCTGTGACTTCTCTTTGGTTCTTTTTCTAAATGCGCATGTATGATTCATTTTTCATTCTTACATTGTTTCCATGTTATCGAGTTATTGGTGTTGTTGTAGATCTCTCTAAGCTTTTCAAAAGTCGATCTTTGGCTTCTCTATACTTCTGCTTATCTATGACAGCTCTCTTCTACCACATGCTTCTACTGCCATGCTATTCTCCCCTATTAAACTATAAACTAAAATCAATCTTCCTCTCTTTTCAAATACTCAATCTTTATAATTCTTAAATATTTTAGATATTTTGTTGTATTTGTCATCTATTGTTAGTATTATGTTCTTCTGGAAGTATGTAAATATATTCAGTATTGGCACAAGCACAAATTAACATAGAAGAATGTTTTTTCATATATTTGTGCTTTTTGTGTTTCAGGTACATCAGTTATCTTTATAACATATATATATATATATATATATTAGTTTTATGAAGAGACAGTGTCTCAGAAGATGCATCTTGTGATATACATTTTTAGTGGGTTATATTTATTAGTGATTAGCTACTGTAGTAGTCTCTCACTATAGATTTTTTTTTTGTTGTCTTCCATTCTTCTCCATGCTATACTCATCTCCTGTAGTGCAACACCCTCAGAAAGTTTCTAACAGCAGTTATCTACATAGTCAATTCATGGAGTTCCTTAACTTTCACAATTAATGGTGTTCTTTAACTATTAATAAATAATAAACTATTCACCATTATAAACAAAAACTAGCTACAAACATTCTGACACACAACTGAGCTCCTATACTTATTTACAGATTTCTAAGCAGATGCTAAACAGTTCAGGACAGAACAGATTCATATATTCAGTCTTGAAAGGAGAACATATAAACCAGTAACAGTCTGCCTGGCAGACTTTCCTTGAGAAAGAATTTTAAAAAAGCTTAAAGAAGTAAAAGCTTAGCAAGTTCATTGCCATGAGGTGAATCCTTTATGTTTTTCAATTATTTTTTATTCTTTGTGGTTCTGAGAATTGTAACTATAGTTTCATACATGATAAACCTACCATTAAGTAACATTACCACTAGGCCAATCTCGATAAGTCTTAAGAAAGTAATAACATTCTACTAACAACATAGAAACAGGAGAAAGTGGGAAATTTAGTGGTATAAGTTACTCATACTCAGAATAGGGATGTGATACTGACCATAGGGAGAACAAACTCCCACAGGATGGATGGATATATATTTCTGCCTTCTCCCCGCCTCCCATTCCTTCCCCCTCTCTCCACTCTTCTCCCCTCCCCCCCTCTTCGCCCCTCCCTCTCCAGTCTGAAGAGCAGTCACAGTTCCCTCCCCTGTGGGAAGTCCAAGGTCCTCCCCCCTCTATCCAGGTCTAGGAAGGTGAACATCCAAACAGGCTAGGCTCCTACACAGCCAGTACATGCAGTAGGATCAAAACCCAGTGCCATTGTCCTTGGCTTCTCATCAGCCCTCATTGTCCACCATGTTCAGAGAGTCCGGTTTGATCCCGTGCTTTTTCAGTCCCAGTCCCGCTGGCCTTGGTGAGCTCCCAATAGATCAGCCCCTCTGTCTCAGTGGGTGGATGCACCCCTCACGGTCCTGACTTCCTTGCTCATGTTCTCCCTCCTTTTCCTCCTCATTTGGACCTTGGGAGCTCAGTCCAGTGCTCCAATGTGGGTCTCTGTCTCTATCTCCATCCATCGCCAGATGAAGTTTCTATGGTGATATGCAAGATATTCATCAGTATGGTTATAGGATAGGGCATTCCAGGTTCCCTCTCCTCAGCTGCCCAAGGAACTAGCTGGGGACATCTCCCTGGACACCTGGGAGCCCCTATAGAGTCAAGTCTCTTGCCAACCCTAAGATGGCTCCCTTAATTAGGATATATACTTCCCTGCTCCCATATCCACCCTTCCTTTATCCCAACCATCCCATTCCCCCACGCTCTCTCCATCCTCCCCTTCTCACTTTTCTCTTCCCATTTCCCCTTTCCCCCATCCCACCCCATCCCCAAGTTCCCAATTTTTGCCCGGCAATCTTGTCTACTTCCAATATCCAGGAGGATAACTGTATGTATTTCTTTGGGTTCACCTTCTTATTTAGCTTCTCTAGAATCACAAATTATAGGCTCAATGTCTTTTATTTATGACTAGAAACCAATTATGAGTGAGTACATCCCATGTTCATCTTTTTGGGTCTGGGTTACCTCACTCAGGTTATTTCTTTAAAATTATATGAAACTTAACTTAAAAATCAGAATGTTTGGGGGGGTTCGATTTAAAGTGTAGAATTGTTGTATGCAATTAATTTTATGTTGCTTTGAATTTGAAATAGTTGGTTATATGCACAGAACAGCCTTTTGGTAACCATAAAGCAAAAAATTTAGAGAAGATCACACTCACACAGCAATAAAACAATTCAAAACCTGCCACTATAGAAAGCCCTCAAATCACAAAACAAAGAGGAGATATAGGAAAAGAAAGCAGAAAACAAATTGTAAAGTGCAGTAGTATATACTTACCTGTCAATAATTACTTTAAATACAGATAAGTTAAAGTTTCCCATCACTAGACATAATGGGACTGTGGTGATTAGTTTGAATTGTCAAGTTGACACACTCCAGAACCACCTGAGAGAACCTCTGAGAATGTATTTTAGGGATTATCTTGATTATGCTGATGTGGGAAGATCCACCCACTGTGGGTGGTACCTTTCCTCGAAAGGAAATACTGGACTACTTAAGAGTAGAACAAGCAGGTGGAGTATTGGCATGCATGCACTCGTTGCTGGGTGTTCATAATTATGAATGTGATATGACCAACTCCTTAAGTCTCCTCTCATAGCTGCTGCTGTGATTTCCTTGCTATGCTGGAATGTAAGCTGGAACTGTAAGCTAAACCCTTTCTCTCATAAATAATTTTTGTCAAGGTATTGTATCATAACAATATGGAAGAAACTAAGAGAGTGGTTTAATACATTTTTCAGGTAATAAAGTTTTATTAGATTTTTATCAAATACCAATCCAAGTTCCCACTCCAACCTCCTCCTCGCATTTCCTCCACACACCCTTCCACCCCACCCCCATCCAGTCCTCAGAGAAGGTAAGGCACATTGCTTTGGGGAAGGTCCAAGGCCCTCCCTATTATATCTAGGCTGAGAAAGGTATCCATCCAAAGAGAATGGGTTTCCAAAAGCCAGTACAGGCAGTAGGATAAATCCTGGTGCCACTGCCAGTGGTCCCTCAGTCTGCCCCAGCCATGCAACTGTCAACCACATTCAGAGGGTCTAGTTTGGCCCTATGCTAGTTCCTTCCCAGTCTGTCTGGAGTTGGTGAGCTCCCATTAGCTCAGGTAAACTGTTTCAGTGGGTGAACCCATCATGGTCTTGACCTCTTTGCTCATATTCTCATTCCTTCCACTCTTCAACTGGACTTTGGGAGCTCAGTCCAGTGCTCTGATGCGGGTCTCTGCCTCTGTTTCCATCAGTTGCTGGATGAAGGTTCTATGGTGATATTTAAGATATTCATCGGTCTGACTACAGGGTAAATCAAATCAGGCCCATTCTCCTCAATTGCTTAGGGTTTTGTCTGGAGTCATCTTTGTGGATTCCTGGGAATTTCTCTTGAGCCAGGTTTCTGCTAATCCTGTAATGGCTCCCTCAATCAAGATATCTCTTCCCTTCCTCTCATCTCTGTCCTTTCTCCATCTCAACTATTCCATTCCCTCAAGTTCTTCTCAACCCTCCTTCTCCTCTCTTCTTCCCCTTCCACCTTCACTTATCCCTGGGCCCCTGTACTTCAAAATTTGTCAGACAATCTTGTCTGTTTCCAATTTTCAAGTGGATCTATGTATGTTTTTCTTTGGGTTCACCTTATTACTTAGCTTCTCTCAGAATATGAACTAAAGGCTCAATGTTCTTTGTTTATAGTTAGTATCCAGTATGAGTGAGTACATACCATATTCATCTTTTTGGGTCTGGGTTACCTCACTCAGGATAGTGTTTTCTAATTCCATTCATATTTGCATGCAAAATTCAAGATGTCATTGTTTTTTACTGCTGAGTAGTGCTCTAATATGTGAATGTGCCACATTTTCTTGATCCATTCTTTGGTCGAGGGGCATCTAGGTTGTTTCCAGGTTCTGACTATTACAAATAATGCTTCTATGAACATAGTTGAACAGATGCTTTTTTTTTTTCTGTCTTGGGATTTTATTGCTGTGAAAAGAAACCATGTCCAAGGCAACTCTTATAATGTACAACATTGAATTGGCTCGCTTACAATTTCAGAAGGTCAACCCTCTGAAGTTATCATCACGCAGGAGCCTGGTGATACACGGGCAGTCGTGGTGGTGGAGATGAGAGTGCTACATCTTGCAGTCACCAGGATGTCAATTGACATCCAATATTTTCAATTTTTCTCAAATATCTATTCAAACTACATTGAAGTAAGCAGAAAAGTAAAATTTCAAATCATAGTTTCTAAATGGTTGAAATCATTATCTTTAAAATAGGAGTGCATACTACATACAACAGTTCGATGATCAGTGCATCACTAAAGTATCTCCTTTAAAAAAGAAAACTTTCAAGAGAATAACGAGTAAGTAAGTAGTTCATTATTTTGAAAACTAGATTATGGAGCTGGAGAGATGGCTCTGTGGTTAAAAACACTGGCTGTTCTTCCGGAGGACCCATGTTCAATTCCCATCACCCATATGGCAGTTCACAACTGTCTGTAATAGCAGTTCCAGGGAACCCAACACCCTCATACAGATATACTCAGAGGCAACACACTGTTGGAGGAGGGTGCCACTTGTTGGTTCCCAGCTGCTTAGCCCAGAAATAATCACACAGAAACTGTATTGTTTAAATCACTGCTTAGCCCATTAACTCTAGCTTCTTACTGGCTAACTTTTACAAAATAATTTAACCCATTTCTATTAGTCTGTGTATCACCATGTAGCTGTGGCTTATCGGCTAAAGTTCTGTCTGGCTCCCGCAGGGCTACATGGCTTCTCTCTGACTTCACTCTTCTTTCTCCCAGCATTCAGTTTAGTTTTCTCTATCTAGCTCTGTTCTACCCTATCAGGCTACGCCAATTTTTTTTTTAATTCTTTTTTTTTTTTTTTTTTTTTTTACTGAGCTCCCAAGGTCCCAATGAGGAGCAGAAGGAGGGAGAACATGAGCAAAGAAGTCGGGACCACGAGGCGTGCACCCACCCACTGAGACAGTGGAGCTGATCTACTGGGAGCTCACCAAGGCCAGCTGGACTGTGACCGAAAAAGCATGGGATGAAACCGGACTCTCTGAACATGGCGAACAATGAGGGCTGATGAGACGCCAAGGACAATGGCACGGGGTTTTGATCCTACTTAATGTGCTGGCTTTGTGGAAGCCTAGCCAGTTTGGATGTTCACCTTCCTAGATATGGACGGAGGGGGGAGGACCTAGGACTTACCACAGGGCAGGGAACCTGGACTGCTCTGTGGACTGGAGAGGGAGGGGGAGAGGAGTGGGGGGAGGGGTAGAAGGGTGGGAGGAGGGGGAGAAGGGTGGGAGGAGGGGGAGGGAAATGGGAGGCTGGGAGGAGGTGGAAACTTGTTTTTTGTTTATGTTTTTTTTTCTTCTTTTCTTAATAAAAAAAAATTATTAAAAAAAAAAGAACAGATGCTTTTTTAGTATGATTGAGCATCCTTTGGGTATATTCCCAAGAGTGGTATTGCTTGATCCTGAGGTAGGTTGATTTCCAGTTTTCTGAGAAACTGTGATACTGATTTCCAAAGTGGTTGTATAAGTTTGCATTCCCACCATCAATGGGGACAGAGAAAAAGTTGGGAAGAAGGAGGGAGAGTTGCCAGTCAGACACAGATGAAGCAAGGTGTTCAGGAGAAGAAGTAACAGCCATAAGCCATGTGGCAGGATGTATATTAATAGTAATGGATTAATTTAAATTATAAGAACTAGTTAGAAACAAGCCTAATATATATGTCAAGCTTTCATAATTAATAAGAAATATCTGTGTCTTTATTTGGGAATTGGAAGGGAAGAGAAAGACTCACTACAGAACTGTGACCAAATTTTACAGTCTCCTCTGAGCTGTCTTATCAACTAGGCATAAACTTTGACTGATGTAGAGTTTAAGAAACATTATCACTTTTTTTCTTTATTTTTTTGTTTATTTTTTTTTTAGTTGTTGAAAAAAAATTTCTGCCTCCTCCCCATTTCCCATTCCCCTCCCCCTCCTCCCACACATTGCTCCCTCCCCTCCCCCTCCCCCTCTCCCCCACTCCATTTCCCCTCCCTCTCGAGAATGAAGAGCAGTCCAGATTCCCTGCCCTGCGGGAAGTCCGAGGTCCTCCCACTTCTATCCAGGTCCAGGAGTCTTGTGAGGAGCTGCAGGCTGCTTCCCTGCCGCCCCAGCTCCCGGCCACCAGCTAGCTCTAGCTTATGCCCCGAAATAATTACACGGAAACTGTATTCTTTTAAACACCGCTTGGCCCATTTCTATCTAGCCTCTTCTAGGCTAGCTCTCGCACCTGGACTAGCCCATTTCTAATAATCTGCTGTAGCCCACGAGCTGGCTTACCAGAAATGATCTTAACCTGCCTCTGTCTGGAGTGTGAGAATCATGGCGACTCACTGACTCAGCTTCTTTCTCCCAGCATTCTGTTCTGTTTACTCCACCCACCTAAGGGTGGGCCTATCAAATGGGCCTAGCAGTTTCTTTATTGCTTAATCAATGAAATCAACAGATTGATATATGACACTCCCACATCACAGTAGGGTGAGCATCCAAACAGGCTAGGCTCCCACAAAGCCAGTTCATGTATTAGGATCGAAACCTAGTGCCATTGTCCTTGGCTTCTCATCAGCCTTCATTGTCTGCCATATTCAAAAAGTTTGATTTCATCCCATGCTTATTCAGTCCCAGTCCCGCTGGCCTTGGTGAGCTCCCAATAGATCATTTCCACTGTCATAGTGGATCAGTGCACCCCTCGTGGTCCTGACTTCCTTGCTCATGTTCTCCCTCCTTCTGCTCTTCATTTGGATCTTAAGAGCTCAGTCTGGTGCTTCAATTTGGGTCTCTGTCTCTATCTCGATCCATCACCAGATGAAGGTTTTAAGGTGATATGCAAGATATTCATCAGTATGGCTATACGATAGGGTCATTTCAGGTTCCCTCTCCTCAGTTGCCCAAGGTACTAGCTGGGGACATCTCCCTGGACAACTGGGAGCCCCTCTAGAGTCAAGTCTCTTGCCAACCCTAAGATGGCTCCCTTAATTAGGATATATATTTCTCTGCTCCCGTGTCCACCCTTCCTTTATCCTAACCATCCCATTCCCCCAAGCTCCCCCAATCCTCCCCTTCTCACGTTTCTCACCCCAATTCCCCTTAGCCCGATGCCACCTCACCCCCAAGTTCCCAATTTTTGCCCGGCAATCTTGTCTACTTCCCATATCCAGGTGGATGACTATATGTTTTTCTTTGGGTTCACCTTCTTATTTAGCTTCTCTAGGATCACAAATTATTTGCTCAATGTCCTTTATTTATGGCTAGAAACCAATTATGTGTGAGTACATCCCATGTTCATCTTTTTGGGTCTGGGATACCTCACTCAGGATAGTGTTTTCTATTTCCATCCATTTGCATGCAAAATTCGCGAAGTCATTGTTTTTTACCGCTGAGTAGTACTCTAATATGTATATATTTCTCACTTTCTTCATCCATTCCTCCAATGAAGGGCATCTAGGTTGTTTCCAGGTTCTGGCTATTACAAATAATGCTGCTATAAACATAGTTGAACAAATGCTTTTGTCATATGATAGGGCATCACTTGGGTATATTCCCAAGAGTGGTATTACTGGATCTTGGTGTACGTTGATCCCAAATTTCCTGAGAAATCTCCACGCTGATTTCCAAAGTGGTTGCACAAGTTTGCATTCCCACCAGCAATGGATGAGTGTGCCCCTTCCTCCACAACCTCTCCAGCAGAGGCTATCATTGGTATTTTTGACTTTAGCCATTCTGACAGGTGTAAGATGATATCTCAAAGTTGTTTTAATTTGCATTTCCCTGATTGCCAAGGAGGTTGAGCATGACCTTAAGTGTCTTTTGGCCATTTGAATTTCTTCTGTTGAGAATTCTCTGTTCAGTTCAGTGACCAATTTTTTAATTGGGTTAATTAGCATTTTAAAGTCTAGTTTCTTGAGTTCTTCATATATTTTAGAGATCAGACCTTTGTCGTTGCAGGGTTGGTGAAGATCTACCAGTCAGTTGGTTGCCTTTTTGTCTTAGTGACAGTGTCCTTTGCTTTACAGAAGCTTCTCAGTTTCAGGAGGTCCCATTTATTCAATGATGTCCTTAATGTCTGTGCTGCTGGGGATATACGTAGGAAGTGATCTCCTGTGACCATATATTGTAGGGTACTTCCCACTTTATCTTCTTTCAGGTTCAGTGTGGTCAGCCTGATATTGAGGTCTTTAATCGTTTTGTACTTGAGTTTTGTGCATGGCGATATATATGCATCTATTTTCATTCTTCTACAGGTTGACCACCAGTTCTGCCAGCACCATTTGTTAAAGATGCTTTCTTTCTTCCATTGAATACTTTTAGCTCCTTTATCATAAATCAGGTGTTCATAGGTTTATGGGTTAAAATCCGGGTCTTCTGTTCTATTCCATTGATCGACTTCTCTGTTTTTATGCCAATACCAAGCTGTTTTCAATACTGAAGCTCTGTAATAGAGTTTGAAGTCAGGGATGGTAATGCCTCCAGAAGTTCCTTTATTGTATAAGATTGTTTTGGCTATCCTGAGTTTTTTTTTCCATATAAAGTTGATTAATGTCCTCTCAAGATGTGTGAAGAATTTTGATGGGACCTTGATGGGGATTGCATTGAATCTATAAATTGCCTTTGGTAGAATTGCCATTTTTACTGTGTTGATCCTCCCAATCCAAGAGCAAGGGAGGTTCTTCCATTTTCTGGTATCCTCTTCAATTTCTTTCTTCAATGCCTTAAAATTCTTGTTAAATAGATCTTTCACTTCCTTGGTTAGAGTTACCCCAAGATATTTTAGGCTGTTTGTGGCTATCGTGAAAGGTGAAGCTTCTCTAATTCCCTCTCTGCTTCCATATCCTTTGTGTATAGGAGGGCAACTGATTTTTTGGAGTTGATCTTGTATCCTGCCACGTTACTAAAGGTGTTTATCAGCTGTAGGAGTTCTTTGGTGGAGTTTTTGGGGTCGCTTATGTACACTATCATATCATCTGCAAATAATGAAAGTTTAACTTCTTCCTTACCGATTCGAATCCCCTTGATCCCCTTATGTTGTCTTATTGCTATTGCTAGAACTTCAAGCACTATATTGAAGAGGTATGGAGAGAGTGGACAGACTTGCCGTGTTCCTGATTTTAGTGGGATGGCTTTGAGTTTCTCTCCATTTAAATTGATGTTAGCTCTCGGCTTGCTGTATATAGCTTTTATTATATTTAGGTAAGACCCTTATGTTCCTAATCTCTCTAAGACCTTTATCATAAAGGGATGTTGAATTTTGTCAAATGCTTTTAT